TCAGTACTTCCACTTTTACCAGAGTATTTTTTAACACAAGTATCTGTACTTTTACTCAAGTACGGAAAATGAGTACTTTTGCCATCTCTGCCTAATGCAATTTAGGCTGAAAAATATGTAAGAAGAAAAAAAAAAAAAGGTGAAAAGCTGAAGTAAAGAAGTTAATAAGCCATGTTTTAAAGTTAAAATGTAATTTCCTGTATCAGCACTCAAGCTCTAAGACTATGGTGTAACAAATAAATTTTTCTGTCACGCTGATCGTTTTTCATAAGTTTCTTATGGAAGCAATTCTATTATTTTTATTGTTATATAAGGGCAAATGGCCATTTCTAGTTATTAAAGGAAAAGTCCAGTCAGCAAGAAATAATCAATGGATCATTATCTATACATAAAACTGATCCGTTCGTAGTGATTTAATGAATTTAGCTACATTTTAGCCCAAATATAGTAGCCCCTCCCTCCTGCCATCTTCCAGCAGTGACGTCACGGTGCGGTAAGCCTAGCGCCATTCTCCCCGCTTTCCAAGCTAAATCAATGGGAACTACTAGACACATCTGAAATCACCATGGATGCTTCCAATAAAGCACATTCAAATAAAAATTACTCTGATTTAAAAACACTTCTTTATTGAACAGTTTGTAATAATTTCATATTGAAAGGACTTTCAGGAGTTTGAATTCTGAATATAAGCGAACTTTTCCTTTAATTTTTGTGATCAAAATCTGAATATTTTTAAAATTTTCCAAAAGTAATAAGGTATTGTTCCGTCCTCCAATAAAACTCTTGGATTGAAATTTAGATTTTCAAAGTATTTCAATGAGTGCCCTATAAAGGGTTAATCAATAGATCAGTTCTCTTCTTTTTGCGATCGAGGAAAAACGTTCGGACTTTAAGACCATGAGGGATTAGAAAGCTTCCTGGTCGTCATTCCGGAGCTAAGCCACTCATCAAACATCAGCACCGCCCTCCAGAGACAGCGCTCCTCCAGACGTCTGAGCAACACCTCAGACATTCTCACGCCATAAATCAGTCAGCAGGACGTCGCTCCAACATGTGAGCAACGAGGAAGCGCGGCGGAGCGGCTGCAGGAAGCTTTGGAGTTTTCCGGGATGAGCTGAATGAAGGACAGAGAGCTTCAGAACTCAGAGTGGATTTATTATTAACAGGGGAACCTTTACAGAAACAACTACAGGTGAAAAAAATACGTTTTTTGTGCCGAACCGAATTTCACCAACAACCAATCGTAGAAAAAGAGTGAAAAACAGTTTATAGATGCAGTCAAATATTGACCAAATATCTGCTTGTAGAAAACATGGCAGCTCTATAAAAAGGTTGGCTCTAAAAGCGTTCACAGGGCGCCCTGCTTCAGGTGGGAGGGGGGGAGGAACGGGTGAGGGGACCTCCTGGAGGAGGCTGACGGGGGGGAGGAGGTGGATGTGTCTGTGGACGGGGGTCCCATGGTGTGAGGGGGGCGGCCCGGTTTGGTGGTGAGGGACAGCGGCTGCAGCTGCTCGCCGTACGGAGAGCTGTAGGAGGAGAGCGTGTGCTCGGTGTGCGTGGCGGCCGGAGCGGCCGGCGACGCCAGCGACATGGTGGGCGTCGCCGGGGAGTCCAGGGAAGAGGCGGGGCTGGCCTGGGACAGGTGGGTGTGTGTGAGGTGGGACACGCTGGGGGGGTGGGTGGCGCTGGGCGGGTGGGTCCGGGTCGGTGGCTGCTCCTCCCGAGGTTTCTTCATCTGTGGAGGGCAGTCTTCCTCAGCGGCAGCAACTAGAGAACAAAAGGAGCGGATCAGAACCAGGAGGACAAGAAGAAACCAGAACCCAGAAGGAAACGTCTTCAGCTGGGTCACTGAATGAGGTGAAAGGTTCTGGTTCTGTTTGGGTTGGCACCGCAGTCTGGCTGGAAGGTGAACCTATGACCTGGTCTCACCAACCCTAAGCTAACGGACCTCTGACAGCAGCTGGCCGCTCTGGGCTAAGCTAACGGACCTCTGACAGCAGCTGGCCGCTCTGGGCTAAGCTAACGGACCTCTGACAGCAGCTGGCCGCTCTGAGCTAAGCTAACGGACCTCTGACAGCAGCTGGCCGCTCTGTGCTAAGCTAACGGACCTCTGACGACAGCTGGCCGCTCTGGGCTAAGCTAACGGACCTCTGAAAGCAGCTGGCCGCTCTGTGCTAAGCTAACGGACCTCTGACAGCAGCTGGCCGCTCTGGGCTGAGCTAACGGATCTCTGACAGCAGCTGGCCGCTCTGGGCTAAGCTAACAGGAAATCCAGAGAAGCTGCAGTTGGTTCTGTCCCGGTTTAGGTTCTGATCTCCCTGCTAAACTCACCTTCAAGCTTAGTTTCACTCTTCATCCTCTTCCTCTTCTTCTTCTTGCCCTGCAGACATGAACAGACATTAAATGCTGCTGGAGTTACTGGGGGGGCTGGGTTCTGGGGGACTCTACTCACATAGTTGTCTCTGGCAGACCAGTTGGGGTACAGCTTGGAGTGCAGCAGCCTCTCCTTGCGGGCCAGGTCGTAGTACGTGGCCTGCTGGTCTTTGCTCAGAGAATGCCACTGTGGACGGAGCAGAGACGGGTTTAGCTAACAGCTCGGGTCCTGGTTCTGTTAACGGACTGTAAACGGACTGACCCGCTGGCCCAGGATCTGGTTGATGGTGGCGCTCTCCTTGACGTTGCATTGGGCCACCACCTTAGGCCTCTCCTCCCTCATGTAGAGCATGAAGGCGTTCAGCGGCTTCTTGATGTGCGGCTTTCTCTCTTCCTCCTTGTCTGGATCAGAGCTGGAGGAGGATCTCCTGCAGGAAAAAAAATATATATATAAATTAATCAGAGTAACTCCAGCAGCCATCGCTCCTTAGAGGGGGGGCACAGGGGCCCCTGAGGGCCAAAGCAATGTTACCCAGGTTGCTGGCTGGTGCTGCATCCAGGCTCCTGCTTCACTGCAGGAACCATGGGGGGGCGAAGCAGAGACGGCTGGGAGGTGGGAACCAAGTGTGGAGAGAAGCTGCTGGACATCAGACTGGAAGAGGATGACATCATCAGAACAGCGGCTGGTTCTGATCAGTTAGCATTTATAGGATTAGTTAACACTGATATTAGTAGTTAACATGAGAAAATCAATAAAGTGACACAAAAAAAGATAATAAATCAGTAAAACAAGGTGATTATGGAAAAAAGATGTTTGACAGAAACTGATAGAAAAGTTGGACTGAAAACAAAAATGTTTTCTCATCTGGATTTAAACTAGAAGCTGCTTCTCCATGTTTGGTTCTAGTTCTGATTCCGTAGATGCGAGAGGTCTGGCTGTCGACCCCCTGCCAACCAGTGGAGCTCAGCTATTCAGTGATTTCTAGACTAAAAGAAGGATCAGCCCTCCTCTAGTCTGCTGGCAGCGCAGAGAAAGCGAAAGAACAAACTGGTGAGGAAGGCCGTTTCTGTCCTGGGCTGAACTCTGGACTCAGTGGCTGAGAGGAGGGTGTTAGCCCAAATATAACTTCACTTCTGGATGAGTTCGGGAGAGCTTTAT